TCAGAAAGTTGTATGACTTTCTTCGCAGCCATGGGACCCGGTATGGACATCGCGAGGTATTGGTTCAGCGAGGAAAGTTCCTTGTCGACTTTCGCCCAGGTCGCTGCATTCTTAGCGCCTGAGTCCTCCAATGCCTTCGAAAGACGCTCTAATTTCGCGTCGAGTATCCCGATTAAAGCGGAACACTGGCAGTGGTCTTTCGGCATCTGCACTGGGGATTGGGTACCCTTTCGGGGGACTCTTCTCTTCGCTGCGGTATGCATTGCACCCTTGACATAGAGGCAGCAAGTCCAAAGATTTAAGCCCCATTTGGGCATCCCGGGGTCTCAGGTATGCTGTGAAATCATCCCACAAGATTTCTCAACCAGGGGCATGGTTGAATCCGTGAACAATAAGATTTTGTGCGCTGCAAAAATGAATGTAGATAAGAACCGTTTTTGAAATGATCACAATCGCAACAAAATACAACATTTTGGCATAGAAGGTTCCACTCCTTTTGTAAAGTTTTGCAGCTGCCAGCATTGTGCAGATAACGGCATCCTACTTGGCAAATACTGGGTCACTATTGAATGTTGGGACCAGAAATCCGACCAATCAGATCTCGGTTTGATGCCGGGCCGGCAATTGTCGTGAACATTCGCCCACTAATGTGCGGAAAGGCTCCTCACCCAAGCAGCACCTGATTAAGAGTGGTAAAGTGGGATCCATGTGGAATTCCGCGTAATAATCCTACGGTATAGCTAAATAGTCGATGAGGTGCGCAAACCGTCGAAACACGGTGCGGTCCATTTTCTTCGTGACGGGCAACGTAAATGTTGAATTTTGTTGTCAGATGTTTGGCATTATGTGCGAGCAGTCCATTCGGAGTTGATGCTCGTCGCACAGATAACGGATAAGGACTCCCTTAATTGTGCGCTGATCATGAGCAGTTTCTGGCCAGTACGAAATTTCCGTATAAACGTTCGCTTCCTGGCCACCAAATACCGACGGTCCCAGTTAGTTCACTTGGCCATCAGCTACCGTTGGAGAGCCACAACTCGAAACTGCCGTTCCTTTTGGAGCACTCAACTTTGTTCTGATCACGCTATGGTGCATGCATGGATGATAGTTCTTTTCGATTCAAGCCCTCGCAAGTCACCAATAAGCATGCCAATCCACCATCTTCGAAGAACCAACATAGCTCACAGAATCTATGTGCGCTAGCTTAGAGCAGCTTCTGTGAACCTGCGTATCCTGTGGCGTAGGCGTGACATAAGCTTATCCGTCAAGGATAAAGTTTAGAATGCTGTAGTGCGCCACTGCGTGCCGAGGACGTCAAAAGTCCTTCAGTGTTTGACCATCGATTTCTTCGAAACATTGCCTGAGTCTGCTGGGAACACCGGATCAGCAATACTGAAGTACGTCGAATGGTGTTCTTGAGTGGGTGTTCACTCCCGATAGATGAACGGATCACACTGCATAGGTTGCGCTGGCTTGGCCACGTGATGCGTATGACAGTCGACCGACTTCCTCGAAATGTTCTTTTCGCACAACCACGTGGAGGGTGAAAACGCGCCAAAGTTGGTCAAACAGTGACTTGGTAGCGAAGTGTAAAAGCCGTTATCAGCATCGCTGGCCACTGCGGTCTTCCTGGATGAGGATTCCGAGACGGGTGACATCAATGGTTAGAGGCATTTTCAGATATGGCCCAGTCGCGCCCTCAGTGGCGTTATTACCGTCAATACGTAGCTCCCTTCCTAATCCCCTCACTTAACAACGCTGTATTTATGCACCAATATATCAGCTCCCGCCTCCAATGCGCAGCTTTTTACCCCACCTCATCAAATCATGGGGGAACGAAACCGTGGCATCTACGATCACTGTATGACAAGTACGCGGTTCTCACAGCTGACAGTGATGATGATTAGCATACCAACTCTACTGGAGTAACGGCGGATACTTCTAATTAGGCATGCGAGTAGTCTGTGGTATTCCAGAAGCTCTGCCCCGCGTCTAATGGAAGTTGATGTTCATTACAGAACTTGTGGAACTGCTTTGCGGTATTCGTTTACAGCTGCGTAATGGTAAACGAATACCAATGAAAGTTCAGAAAGACGCTTGAGAATGTTCGGTTTTCGAAAACGATGTGCATGTGGGACGTTTAATTCCTTGTCCAGCAGTTCGTAACTGTTTATTTGGTGTTTGCTAATAAAGGGCTTCGCGGCGGAACAAGTCGCCGCATGTTCCAACCTTCAACCATGAGAACCAGGAGACTGTTTGTCAGACCTCTAACCATTGACTAACCTGGTATGAGAGACTCTGTGAGTGTCGCGGGGACGCCCTCCAGCATAGCTCAGTGGGTGACCGAGGTACACAAACCGCACCCCACGGTAAGGTCCAGTCTCTTCCTGACGGATGCAGACAAATGACCGCTGTATATAGTGAAGCTCGGTAGTCCTGATTAATACCAGGAAATTCGTATCTGCAGGCAACGAGTATGACGGCACACGCAAACCCCCCATGTGCCAAGTAGTGAAGAGCCCAATCAAAGACCGAGAGCTCAAGTTGACGTCGAAAGCTTGAGGAATGGAGAAGGCTTTTGCTACCGGAAACAACCTTGCTCAATACCAACCGATACAATTGACCGGCCCTAGGAAAGCAACAACCCACTAAACGACAAGCGAAAAAGGCGGCTCATCAATTCACTCGCAAACGCATCGGCTGGAAGGATGGGCCTGATACTTCGAAGAACCATTTAGCTGGCCTCCTGCAACACCTATTCTAGAGACGTTGCATTCGAGCGAATTGAATATAAACCTTAATTGTCCGTCCGAAGAGGAAATAAATTATGAACGATCCGTACTGAAACGTGAAAAGGTACCAGAATCTGGCGGTCTGTGACCAATCCTCCTCAAGAAAGGCGAAGAATCCCCGGTGACCCACCTGGCAAAGCTCATTGGTGCGGTGTTGAACGAATGGGAAGTGCCTGCAGAATGGGGCATGTCGACATTTATTCATATCTTCAGGAAGAGTACGCAGACGCTGTGTGGAGAAACCCAGTGGCATTTGCTTGGTAGCTGCAGAATGGAACGGGCTCTCTGATCTTATCCATCGAAGGTTGACTAAACACATCCGTGAAAACCAAACTGGGTTCCCTCTTGCAAGAACAGGCGTCGATCACATTTCCATTCTCTGACAGATTCTGAAACAGTGACACTATTTCCAGCGTCCAACAGTGGTTGCCTACTTTGACTTGAAAGCCGCATTTGATTCTGTGGACCCTCAGGCGCTATGAATGTCTGTGGAGCAAATTCTTGAAGACATTTTTCGCCCTCCTTCAGGCCTTGTACGTCAGCTCCCGCTGCCGCGTGAAAGTCTACTGTAGGCTCTCACCTGAGTTCATTACACCGAGTGTTGTTAGGCAAGATTGTCCTCTTTCACTTTTTCTCTTCAACTTCGTCATTGATACGATTATGGAGGACTCACTAACTCACTACCAACCTCACAGATATCAAGTACGCAGGTGACATAGCTTTTCTCGGATCTGACACCATGGTCGTGCGAACACTATTAAGTAATTAAATAATCTTACCTCACGGCTTGGTTTACGTTTCGCACCTGCAAACTGTAAAATGCTGCTGCAAGACTGGGTGGCCTGAACTCTAACATCATGCTTGCAGATGAGCTGATTGCAGTAGTGGACAAATTTGTCTACCTGGACAGCTGTATCAGTCCCGGTTGTCTCGCAAAAAATAGTTCTATCTGTTATGTTCTCTACTAATCAGTCAATCAACCTTGTCAGTTACACACGAAATTGAGAAAACAAAAAGCCTTGAGGAAATTATACTGCAGCAACTGAACAGCCAATATCGAGATTCGAAGAATCAAGAATGGAATGGAACAAAACAGTCCAATGAAAGGCTGAAATAGAGAGAGAGAGAGAAATGTTGAGCAATATGTTCGTTAGGAGTGCCTCCTAACATCTCCCCTTTGAAGTCATTGTTCGTACGACTGGAGTTGTGGGTTCAGTCGCATTCGTCTCGGGGTCCCCATCCAGGAAGACGGCAGTGACCAGCGCAGCTGAGTTTGCTGGTAATGGCTTTCATACTTCGCTGCCAAGTCATTGTTTGACCGCCTCTGGCTCTCTTCC